GCTCGCTCGGCGGAGATAAATGGCAGGCACGTTTAGTCGCCGAGAGAGTTTGCCGAAAGATATATCGGGAATCCGACGGGAGTAGCAGGCAGAAAAGAAAGAAAAAAAGGAGCATGCCGCTGCAGCGTGATGAGCTATGCGCGGTTATAGCGTGTCTCCTGTTCCGATTATAGCCGATAGCAACAGGCTGGGAGTAAAATGTAATTCAATGGATACTCTCGCAGTACGTGCGACGCATCTCTCCGGGGAGAAACGTGAAAAATACCGCCGCATAATAGCGCACTCCGATGGAGCTTCAAGCCGCAGTCTTGAGTGCGATCTCTGGTCTTGTTCAAATGCGTAAAAATGCTTCCCTCCGCGCGCGCCATTTATAATTCTAATAATACCGACCAACAACACTCACTGGGAGCTTTGGACGAGGTAAATTTTCGACGATACGAGAATGAAATATCGCCACGAGAAGATAATATTAGGAGGATTGCATCGAGGCGAAGAAGATATCGTGAGAGGTGCTGGAGAACTGCGGAAAGTACATTGGTCTCTACGGTGTGTAGCTGCGGGATTAATTACCGTCGACAGAAGTACCGCAAGAGCGCGTGAAGAAGCGCGCGGCTATTAATTACGCCGGTCGCGCATAATGCACAAATATAAATCACGCATAACTGTAAATGCGTTACGTTAGATGTGGGAAACGCGTGTAATACGAAGCTGCTACAACGGTGTGATAAAGGTCGCGACAGAGCGGGTGGGGGTCAAACGGTCGATAGATCAGTTGTGACTAATTAAATCCTTTTGCCGTCCGACGTCGGTCGTCAAGGATAAAGCAGTGTCGGGGCAATGTCCTGCGAGATTCGTTTGCGTAACGAACGGCGATGTAACCTTTCCATTGTACCACTTAAGGCCAACAGCTGGAAAGGTCGATTCTGTAAGCGCGAAACGAAATCGGGACGAATTTAGGATTCGGCCGCGCGGATGGTGCAATGCGGAAATAATTATTGGGAAAAATTACATCGCAGGAAGATGAAGTTACGGATCTAACCGTTGCTTTTTGTCGACATCTCTTATTGCTAAAAAAAAATATCTCATTGGTCCAGGTAGAATTCTAAATGTCATACGGAGAGAATTTTTTCCATTAAATTACCATAGAAATTATCTAGTAGAATTTTGTAACCGAGAAATGATCGACGTTTTGCAGTAATTCACTATCTTTTCATTTCAAATGTGCTACTTATATTTTAGGAACTTAAAATGTACTATTAAAACAACTTGTTGCGTTTCTAACGAAATTTACTATGTTTCTTATTAACATACTCTTACTGAAAGTCTATTCCTGGACTGCTACAAACATAGCAAGATTGAAAAGAATTTATATGAGAAGTTATAACATTCTCCCCGTGCATACTTAAAATTTATCGCTGTTACTCGTATCTGGTGGAAAATTGTCCGTGATACGCGTAAAATTTACAGCAGCAACGTATCAGTAATATCTGCCAGGAAATTTAAATGGTGTGAAGATTTGTTTGTCTCTAGTCTTTTTTGTCTACTACAGTTTTATAGGAAGTGTGAGTGGCCTTAATCTAGATGGGCGCCACAGAGAGACTTTCTTGCTAAATTTTGCAAATAGTTCAGACAGGAATTCTGTCTCTCTCATCTATATCGATTAAGTATAAAACATATGCGATACCGCGATGTGCTAGTCATTTATACATTTTAGCTAATTTATTGGCTAATGTATATAGATTATTTTTGCTATGATCATTTTTTTAAGTGCAATATCGTAAAACTACAATTAACGAAGGAATTACTAGGCGACACGAAGGCGACACGAGTCGCTTCTCGCGCTCTCACCGAAAAATTTCTCAATTTTTCACTGCATTTCCAAAACTGCGGTACGGTAATGCGTGGATCGAAAATTATCCTATTAAAATTCTACTTCACTTTATATGTCAGGACATCAAGGATCGCCCGAGGCAACGTCCTGCGCTAGTTACGTAAGGCAGCGGCAACGCGACCGTGAATTTATCGATTCTCCGCTTATCGTCGAGCGACCGCCTTGATATCTCGCTTGCCAATTCGTCCCGTTCGCAGAGAGTGTAAAAATATCTCAAATGCAAAAAAAATTATCTTTTCGTGGAAACGGTGTTCCGCGATGGTGACATTTTAGAACATGGTAGGCGACACGTCCTTCGATTAAATGGTCATACTGCTAGAGTATAGTAATAATTGTAATATTCACGTTTAGAATCACATTATCCCCGCCACGCATTTAATATCGCGTAACTATAAGTTTTCAAAGCGTTTTGCACGCGCTGCTTCTTCCAGCTTCCAGTAAAAATCTCTCTTGGGAAATGTTTCGGTTTTCGGAAAAATGGGTCGGAATTCTTATGAGCGTCAAAATAAAAAATCGCGTGCAGAAAATACTCCCGTCGCGAGATTAATCGACGCTAAATATAGACCGCGTAATTATAATACACGCGTGCCCACGCGTTCATCTGCACACATATAACCGCGGTGAATGTCATCTGTCCCGCAAGGCTGGAAATTCCACGACACATCAATGATAAAATAATTAAATATCAGGCTTATTTGGTGTTGTATAAATTAATCAATCGTCGAGGGAAATAATGTGCTGCACTGAGAAGCAGCATCTCACTTAAAATTTACATAATATAAAGCTTATACTTCTGTGAAATAAAGTTTATTCCTCTGCGAATAAACTTTATATACAGATAAATTGTGAAGTTTTTTTTTCCAGTATGTGATGATAGCTACACACCGACGTATTTAAATGAGAACGTCCTCGAACAATTTGTAAAAAATGTTTGAACCTTTCACTGGAAGATCCCCCTCACCATGTGGGATACGCGGTTTTTCTTCCAGAATTCTTCGATTGTACAGATTATCGAAATCAACGCTCGGGCGCGCGCGTGTATGTATGTATGTATGTATGTATGTATATATATATATATATTTTGTCTGTGTGTGTGTGTGTGTGCGTGTGTGTGCGTGTGTGTGTATGTATATATGCGTATGATTCCACCGTACCACGACACGTATTAGGCAATCATTCGGCATTCTCAACGAGGCGTTATAAAACCCACCTTAAAAACAGACACGCGAAATAGGAGGGCAAAGTGAGTGCGGAGAACGAGAGGAGGAGGAGGAGGAGGAGAAGGAGAAAAAGGAGGAGAAGCATGAGAAGGAGGAGGAGGAATCTCGTAATATGGTAATACCACACGTTCGGTGGGGCATTGAAGTTACATAATGGTACACGAGAGTACGCGAGAGACATCGCGATACACAAACTGGCTGGCTATCAGAAACCTCGGGAGTCATTATGCAACGGAGACGCGAGCAACAAAGAGCCGGGAACACCATCGCGCCGTACCACGAGCCCGATCCGGAATGCCAAGACGCGAATTCTACTTTGCAATCGCGAAGACGTTCTCTCGATCGACGTCCGAATCGGTGATGCCGATTTCGGGGTACAGGCCGCGGACCGTTCGCGAATAAGAGGCCGCGTTTGACTCATAAACTCGTTAGTCAAATGAGGTCATCCGTTGATCAGGGGGGCGGAAAGTGATTCACTGATACTTAACGTCGACGACGGTGATGTAACTCGAGACGACCGACTACGACCGACGTGAATTTTGCACGACGACGTGGCACCCGAGGTTTCTTTAGGCGCGGTCCATAACAATTGTTTAATAATCAGGGAAAGCGCGACACGAGAAAGGAAAGCACGGTGTTTCAGTTACAACAATCGGCCTTTGCACGGCGAGCCCGTCCGCGGGCTCGCCATCCGATACGTGTTAATTACCGCAAACACCTCGTTTAAACTCCCTCGTATTGTAATGCTTATGAGAAACTCATTTATGAGAACCTCGTATGAAAACTTCACTGGAAAATGCATTATTGCATGGATATATTTATGCAACGCTCCGTCTCGCCTATAACCAGTTGGATTATGCCAGCTATTCAGTAAGCAATGGGATATAAATAACTCCCATGTTGCAAAAGTACATTGATTTATAAGTATAAATATTAAAAACGCTCGTATTCCATATTCAAAAAAATATTATCCTATTCTTAGCAAAAATCCTCTTACACGTAACTTCAAGAAAGGATTCTGTTTTAAAACAAAAAAGAATTCTAAAAAGGAGTTGTATGGTTGCAACATGCTATTTTCTGTAATCCCATATATTCCAAGTGAAAACTCTTATCGAAAGAGTAATTATTTCTCTTCTAATGATATTATTCTAACTTTTTTTCCAATTTTTAGTCAAGAGGAATATATTTATTAGAGGAATATATATGTGAGTATTAATAACAATATATTTACGTACATCTTATATTTAAATACTTATATTTAAGTACAAAATATCTTTTTGACTTTTCATGAAAGCAATTTTTTATTATATTTAAGTGTGTGTGTAAAATAATTTAGATTTAAATAAATATATTATTAATGCCCACCGAATAAGTATTTCTTATTTTTTCTCAGTGTACTGTAGATGTGAAAGAAATTCTGTACTGTAGATACTGTACTATAAATACTGTAGATGAGAAAGAAACATGTAGATGAAATTTCTCTGTCTGAAAAATATTAGAATATTTTCTTTTTGTTCTTATAAGAATCCTTTTGAGGTCACACGCATAAGAGTATTTCGTTAAAGATTTGTATTCTTCTGAGTGCACGAGACAGTTTCGTCGATCGATAAACATCGTCTATTTTGATATAGTTGTTTATGGTTCGGCTGTTTACTGCCGGATGTTAACACAAGTATCATAGCAAGAGTGATTGCTCTCACGGGTAGCGCATCCCGCCGCATTTCGTAATGCTGATCGCGAGGTGCCTCAGCTGAGGTCGGGTCGGTTCGCGCATCTACTCGCGGTTAACCTAACGTACATAAGCGGCCATAATGCACGGCGGCGATTTCGTCACCCGCGTCGAGCGTCGACGCTCGACAATAGGAGAATGGGCATGAAAGGTTACGTACCTTCAACACCGCGCTGGAACAGTTATGAAATACGGGGCAGCGGACTTGTGCTCGTCGATTTCTCGCCTCCGCGTCGAAATACGCTCGCCCTCGCACTGCTTTCTCCGATAATACACGGGGATGGACTGGAATAGACACATCTGGAATAGATTCAACACAAAGTCAATTTCTACGAATTCAAATGAGCACGAGTGAGAGAATATACGTCGATTTTAAAGTAAAAGAGAGACAAAGAGTGACGCGTCACGAGAACTCGTAGACAACGCAGAGAATATTTTTATATTCGTGAGAAAACGATATAGACGCGTTGATGTACGAAATTTCTGCGTAAACGGATGGACGCGTTTGCAGACGATCTCTAATATTACCGGGCGAGCCTCTTTGCAGACAGGATTACATAAATTATATTCTTGTCGTAAATTGCCCGTTTTACGGCTGGGCGAACTTTGAGAAGAAAAAAGGAAAGCTAACATCTACGAGCGTCGCACGGGAACAAACGCGATCCACCTTACACGACGCTTCTATCTCTATGTTCTTTCGCTCGAGCGGATATATTGAATAGCTTTTGCGTCGACATACCTCGTTTCTTGGGTACAAAGGCCATCCGTTTACCCGAAAACTGCTGCAGACTCGCAATTGCGTGGAATTGCGCGCTCGTCCGTTTCAAGTTGCATTCGTTCGAACTGACGCGTTTGCGCGCCGCGCGCAAACGAGTGGCTCTGCCCGCGCTTCAATAATCGACACGACGCCATAAATACCTATTGATAAATATTAATCGATATCGTAAATATCAATAAACAACTATATTGACTTACTGACCAAACGTATTCTTTATCACGAAAAGCGAAATCTAACCTTTACGATCATTCAAACTGATTTACTTTATACGGCGTTTCTATTTCTACTTTTTGCCCGGGCGAATGTACTGAATAGTTTTCACGTCGATTTTTACTTCGTTTCTTCAGAGACTACTTATCTATGCAAAAAACATTGCAAACACGCAATTACATGGAGCATGCCTGCGTTCATTCTGAATTGAATTCGTTCGAGCTCGAAAAATACGCACAATATGTACGAGTAAAGGCTCGTCTACAATACGCGGAATAAGCTTGGCATAAGTTGGAGTAAAAAATAAAAATGATTTATTTTACTTACGCCTACACTAAGAGAAAAATGTTTGGCATTTGTAATTATAATCATATAGAGAAATAATTACTATAAATTATGGTCAAAACAACCATTTTTTAGTTAATTGCACTATAATTTTAATAATAATAACTTTATATTCATATTATTACTACTATCTCCGTGTTGGAACAATAAAAAAATATAGTTGGGCCCAATTTGATGCCAATTACAAATACAATACAAATACCAAATATTTTTCCCTCAGTGCATACTCTAGCCTCCTTGCACCAAAAGTATTTCTCTTACTTAAATACTTTCGATGTGAGGAAGTTAAAGTATAGACATAAGCAAAATAAATTATTTTTATTTCTTCAACTTAACTAGTTTACTTCACATGTTGTAGACTTTGACTGTTCGCGTTTGAATATGATGACATAAAAATTTAGCAATAAAAATCTTTCCTTATCAAACAAATATGCTGCCCATATAGAAAACTACATGGAAAGTTAACTTCTATCTTTTTAATTCTAATTTTTAATTTAAATTGTAATTTAAATGTTATACGTGTTGTAATTTAAATGTTGCACTAGCTTCGACGCGATCTATCTTACACGTCGTTTCTGTACACACTTTCGCACGTGGATGAATATATTGAATAGTTTTCATGTCAACGTACCTCGTTTCTTGAGTATAAAGTCCATTTATTCATCCGCAAACTGCTGCAGGTTCATAATTATATACAACTCACTCCAGTTCGTCCATTCCGAATTGCATCTGTTCCAACTTGAGCCTACACACAGAAAAAGAATTAGCCGTGGGAGCTGAAATATATTATAAATATACTGATAACTAAAACAGTGTCGTTAAAATTGTAACAGATAATGTCGAGTTTACTGAAACTAAATTTATTAGTTACTTAAACTTTGGCTCTACAAAAAAATATTCGCTTCTAAATAGAAAGTTCCTATTGTATCATTTTGCTTTTCTACAAGATTACACTTTATGTCCGTCAAAAACATAAAACTGACGCTTCGGATTACAAATACGAATCAAGATTTCTCATCAGTTTTTAATTCGGATTAATGTCTCTCGTACTTACATGATTACGCGGTTTGATTCTTATTCCGCAGAAAGACGATTTCACAGTCACCGTAAGCGCGATAATTTTCTGCTTCTCGTGGTCTTTGTTTCAAGTCGCCACGATGCCTACAAGTGGAGTTATTAACAATTATGTCAATTCGCGTTGTAAATTTTTCGGCGTTATCGCTGTAGCGCGAGTTACGGATGAGTCGCCACGCGACGCAAGAGTGGAATGCGGAACCGGTTATTGCTTTCGGAATGTCAC